TATTAAATAACAATAGTTAACTCTTGTAAAACTATATAATTATATCAATTATAATTAATTAGTTACTATCTATTACTTTTTTTTTGTTATTTATCATTTGTTATTTGTTAATAATCACTTACTACTAACTATCACTATCTAATATTTATTATTTGTTATCTATTAAATTTTAATTATTATATTAAATAGATGTGAAGTTGGTATTGCACATTTAAAAGTGAAATTCAAATATAATAAGTTGTGATTTAGTTGATAAAAAAGTTTATTCTTTATTTTGTTAATTAAAATTTAAATTTTTAAAAAGAAAATCATTTCTTATTAATTTTTTAATTTTAACATAAATAACTTATCTTAATTAAATTAAAAAAATTAATATCAAACTATATAAAAATGAACTTCGGACACCCAGACAAGAGAAAAAAATAAGTGAAATTCAGACACTAAGCTCGGTTAAAAAACACTCCCTATTGGAGAATATCTTTATGTTCTAGTAACCACCTTATATGTACAAATGTAAGGTTTCGAGTGTCAACTCCAACCTAAAAAAAAAAAAACCTCAACTATTGTTACTCGCGCCGCACAATTGTGCTCCTTGCGCTGCCACCTTTGTTAAGACAAATCGAGAACCGACAAATACCATTAATGTGCCTTTATGATCAATGTAATAGTCAAACTATGTCTTTGTTTCTCTTTCCACTGGTCTCTGAAGTCTCCACCCACCTATTTTTCACCTTTTTTTATCGGTGAAATGGTAATTTTACTCCTCAATTTTATGGTTTTACAAAGTTTTTATTTTTCAACTTTATTTATATATTTTTTTGTCCTTCAATTTTGAAAGTACATATTTTTTGGTTATTTCATTAGTTAGGTTATTAAATTTATCTAAATTTATATATTTTAATCCTTAAATTTATAATATATTTTTAATTTTTACATTTATAATATATGCATATATAGATAAAATTAATGAATTAATTGACAAATAAATGAAAAAAATACATTTTTTAGAATTTATAGACCAAAAAACCAAAAATTATATAAAATTCTAAAATTAATAAATTTTACTAAATTAAAATTCACAATTAACCTTTATTATAAAAGATTCTACTTTACCTTTTTGTTTTCATCTTTTTGTTTTCTCTAATTTAATTAGTAAAGAACTGAAGGCCAATTTTTTTTTTTTTAATTTTTAAATCTCAAGAAGCTTCGAACTACATAATCTCTCGAGCTCTACTCAAGGAGAAGCCCATATAACTCCGAAGGATAGGCATGAAGAGAACTGCGGAGAAAACTAGCAATATTCAATGGAGCTGCAGTACTAATCTTGAGATCAATTGTTATATCTACCATTTTCCTCTAGGTTAAACCCTCCATTTGGGTCCTTCAACTATTGTATAGATTTTTGATTTAGTTCTTCAACTCAAAAAATTCATAATTTGATCCCTATTATTTACCATTTTAGCCCCAACTTATCCTTCAATTAAATTTTTTGCTAGGTGTCCCATTACTTGAAGGAAAAGATGACATGTAAAAATATTTTGGCACGTAGGACCAACAGTCTAAACAATAAGCTGACATGTAATTTCCAACTAAAAATTAAAATATTTCAAACTAATCATAAAATTAAAATTACTTTTGTACCCTCTTCTTCAACCACACATTAGTTTCTTTCCTTTCTCCTTTCGTTACCCCTTCCTTTTCATCTCCAACCTCTTTTGTTGTTCATCTTCTTCCCCCAACAGGCTTCATTTTCTCTCCCTTCTCCAACACCAGATTTGGGTTCAATTTGAACCCAATAGTTGTTCATCTTTTTCCCCCCCAATAGGCTTCATTTTCTCTCTCCCTTCCCTAACACCAAATTTGGTTCAATTGAACCCGACAGTTGTTCATCTCCTTC